GCATGCCACCTTCGGATTGTCTCCTAGCTGACTTGTGGTTAGTAATAGCTTTTGTATTGCAAAGTTCGTTGGCCAAGCAAATAGATAATTCGTTCTCCCCAAACGACCCACTCACTACCCCCCTTGTACCTCCAAGATAAGCATCACTTCATTCCCTAAAGGCATTGCTTTATTTTTGGGCTACAGACTCAACTGATTATCATGCATTTCTTGTTGGAGGTCGACCGATTATGTCTGAGATCCGTCTGCTGGATACGGTCCACTTTCAAGGTATTCAAGGAAGCTTTTTTCATAGACAGCTAGAACTGGTCAACCGAAAGAGTCTTGGTCTTGTAAGGCAATGCAAGACCTCATTATGCAGTAAAAACCGTATATTTGAAGATCTCCACTCTAGGATGAGGTGAGAGATTATCAGCCCATCCTCCGCACTCCCCCCATATTTCTCCAAATGATGAACATCACCTTTCCTTGGCGTTAGAATATCGTACTCGAAATAGACGGTTGAAAAATTATGGTAGAAAGAGAGGTGCATAGATCTAGGAAATAAGGTACAAAGGTGGAATCTGCACGCTTTTTTAGGAAGCGATTACAGATTGTGACCAGTGATCCTTTCAATCGATAAAATGTTTTTAAAAGCTGTCCGTGATTGGCTGTTTTATAAAAATAATTGGCGAACCCATTTGGTTGCTTTATAAGTTGTCTCGTGTTTTTAATTAATGCGAACCATAGCTTTAGTAAATAAATATACTCGCCGACAATTTACTGAAGCGAACTATTATATCCCAAATCTCCAGTAATTTTGCCTTACCTTTTGGCTATTGATAGGCGTTTTATGATGATTCTGCTTGATTGCACTTTGCTTGAAGTTGGTTTGTTGATTATTTTATTTAAAACTTTGAAATTTGGCTTTATTAAATTTCTAAACAAATAGTTAATAGGTCTTGCCAGGTCTCGGGACAGGTTTTTTAAAAGCGTCCGTTACACAGCCCTTTGATTTTGCATGATTGGTCTTCCACTGCACGTTTATGTAGCTTAAGCGGAGGACCTGTTGGGACACTTTTTTCTTTAAGCTTCGTCCAACTTTTAAAAATAGCTTCTGTAGTTTGGCTCTGAAGATTTACCTTCTACAAAAATTTTAAATTCGTTATATTCGCAATGCTTGCAGCTATTTATGTTAACTTCTTTTAAAAACGTTTTAATTGGCTAAAAGGATTTCATTCTCAGACGGAAAGGCTGGAATTTGTTCGGAATTTTCTCAAACACTTTGGAATAATAAGTCAAACGTGGTTTTAAACCTTTGATGCGTATTTGCCTTGGGGTGCAAGTTCTGAGGAGGAAGGTATAACTGTGCGCAAGCCCTCTTCTTCTTTCATTTTCCATCTGCTATTACTTAGGATACCTGCTCAAGTATCCCAATGCGTTTCCATCAGAGCAATGTTAAATTTGACACTACTATTCGCTTGTTTCTTTCACTTACTGGGTTTCTAAATGAACGTAGTTTTATTGTGTTGGGGTGCTATTTCGACTGTTCGAGTTGGAGTGCCTATTTTCTTAAACCAAATATTGCTAATATTCCTTCCAGAAAACCCTTGCGTTTTGTATACTTCTTAAAACATTAAAAGGAGGCAATTAACCGATCGGCTGGGTTTAACTTGTTTGCTCCATTAACAGATATACATGCGTAAACCTTCGGATCAAAATTATTTTTTTCTATCGTTTGACTGGATATACTTCCTCAGAAACTTCGATCATCTTTATAGCAGTCACTTTGACTTGGTACCTTTGCTAAAGGCAAATATTGCAATCAGCTCCACAAAAGTTATTTGTCTGTCAATGATGGTGTTGACACTTCATGTTTGACCGGGCCAGTTTCGGCCTCCCCGATTTCCTGCCTCTTTTTCTACCGTTCGCAAATGCTTGTCTGACACCCTGGAAGCAAACCGACGAATACGTACACTATCGTAGCAACAAAGTTCAGGTTGCTTCCTTCACTTTAATTCATTTCATGCCATCTTGAATGAAGAATCGGTAAAACTAGATTTTCTTTGTTATCCAGGTAAAAAATGTTTTGAGGATATGGAGATGAACAAAGCACTATGCTTTTTGTACTTTGCTAATTATTCATTTAAGTTCTTTGAAATCTTTTTAATCGACTGTTAGCTTAAAACATATGTTTCCTTTGACCTTCAAAAGTTGACAGAAATTTGCCTTTTAGATTGCTTATTCAGGTTAATGGTTAAATATTATTGAATCTAAAAAAATTCTGGAATTTTTTTATTATTTAGATAGATTTAACCACATTTAGGGTTTCTTCAACTACCAAATCAGACTGAGGAACAGGTTCGAAATCTCCTTGGAAAAGTAGCGCCTTAGCTCTTACAATTTGCTTTCATTGTTATTTAAACTTTTTGGCAAACATCACAATGAAAGTTTAGTAGGATGAATTTTTAGCCACTTCCAATATCTTTTAAATATGGTACTGTTTTGTTAGCTTTTCCTTGTCTTTGATGCTTCGTATTCCTTTTGCCTTAAGCATCCATTCCGCCATTGTTCTCATTTGGTTAATTAATACCAATGCATCTACAATTTCTGGGTTCTTAGTTCTATAAAAATCCTGTTAATTTAGTCAAGCAAAGATCGCATCCGCCTCCTCACCCGTAGCGAGCGATTGAGAGCCATTTTGTGTCACCTATAAGCACTTACTACCCTTATGTGTTCCCAGATCGTTGGCGAGACCAGCAGTGTGATTCTCCCAAAAGCTCCCCTACCCACATATATGGGGCGGTAAATTTTAGCTTAATTTTCCCTTTTTCTGCAATTCCGAGCGTTCTGTTGTATTGGGCGAGTGCAATTTACGATTAGTGTTGTGGTGGGGTCAATTTTAAAGAGACCGTGGATTTATGGGAGAGGCAGGAGTAGGACAGGGGTGTAGGGGCGTCATTCCATCCCCACTTCTCACCCATTACCCCTCTGTAGCTGCTGGATGTTGATTTCATTAAATTCACCTCACTTCCACTCTTCCCTCTTCACGCTGATTAAAAAGGTGTGACGAGTACTGATACTTTTTTGTCAACTCAAATCCTTCCTGCATCGCTTCTCTTCCATACGATTGTACGAAATTTTCCGAATTTATCATCGAAATACGATTTTTTCTTTTGGAAATTGCCTTACTTTTCTAGTAATTGTGCTGTTTGAGCTCTCATCGATTGAGTGAGCAAGGGTTATTTCGATTTTGTTTTCCCAAAATGCCACGTAACTGTCCTCATTAGTCTTTTGTTTATTTCTATCTTTTAATGGTCAAGCAAATTATGTACTATGGTTTCATTGTGAATCGCTTTTGTCCTATTGCACTTTGACAGCCATTTTTATGTAAATTCGTTTGTCATACTTTCATAGTTGGATAATTTAAAGGGATAATTGTTGAAATAATTTTTGTGAATAAAACATTTAGGGCATGGTTAGAATGAATTGGAAGCAATGTTGATGAGCTCTGATATAAGTGGTATTTGGATGCTATTTCGCACAGTCGATTTGAGTGAGTCGCCTCTCGGATTGATTCAAAAAATTGGGATCATTTTTGTTGTGGTGAAAAACAGTTCAAAATGCAACTGATCGAAAAGTGTCATTTTCGTGAGAGCTAATGCCATTTTAACTATACAATGAGACCATATAGTTGCGACTATCATTGCTAGCTTTTCATACTTGGGGAGTAAAGACGGAACTTTAAGCCCTTTCCCGTATACTCTGCGCACTTTTACTAAAATAATGGCAAAAGTTACTGATGTTGCCCTTACTGAAAGGGAAAGGGTTATGAATAAGGCCCAATGTTAAACATTTTCCACTGGTAATCAGGTAGCTTTCCATCAAACTGCTATTTAAATCTACCCTGGACGAGGTCTTTTATTGCTGTTCTTAATCCCATGTTTGCTCTCGGTTATTGCATGTGAAAATCTAAAATCTGAAGAAGTTATTTTTGAGTTCACCAACGCTATTTGATTCTTCGTGTTGTATATGAAGGTGTTGGGGGTGTCTGTCGGAAGCAGGAGGAGGGGATGGCGACGAGATGGCATGAATGCTCATGCAGTGCCAGCATTTAAATGACATGAGATGTTCTTTTGCCTCTCATCGCAGCTCTAGCCGTGGTCCCCTCCTGACGTCGGATACCTATTTTTGTGCTCGCCGTCACTCCGCCGTAGCTCCGGCTTTTGTTCCTCTCCCTCAGGCGTTTCGGGTGTGATCAGATTCACCGCCTGATCGCATCACCCGTCAAAATTCCCGTGGCGGTTTCCATCATTGGTGGCACATGAGCATTACTTTAGCCTATGGTGAATTCATTCGACTTCTGTTGGTAACTGTTAGTACGACTCATGGTAATCCACTTAATGTGAGTGTAGTAAATCACATTTTTAAAGGTGTGATTTTAAAGAAGGTCGCTCTAAAATTACTTTTGTCTACCGGCGTATGGATGTTAAATCAAATTACCGATAATACAAAAATACCCCAAATTTTGAGTAGTCTTGTCCCTTCGTTGAGGGCATCTACAATAGACAACTACCCTATTTTTTGTGTAGTTTGGCCATATTACGGCAAGTCTAAACTTTTAAGGAGGCGGCTATTTGCGCATCTTGGAGTAAAAGTACTATTGTTTTGTGAGACAAACTGTCTTCAACCTGCCTTTTTTTCAAATAAAAGGCAAGAAAGGAGGGGTTCATGTCCTTCTAGAGATTTTTTTCCTTTGGGATGAAGTTTTAAATAAGAACGCTTATTTCTAGGTTTTTTGATTTTTATTTAAGGTAGCCTTAAAATATACTCTGCAACCTTTGCTAATTTATTTACTTGATTTCGGGAGTCATTTCACTTTACAAGATACGCATTTTGAAAGATGAGACTCTTTTCCTATGGTTTTCTGTATTCTCGCTACCAGCATATAAGTATCGTGCACTTGGATTCATCTAAATCAGTAATTAATGCAATGGGTATTTTTTGTTGTAAATTCGAAAGTCTTTCGTTCCTCTGCACGAAAGTAGCTACTAGTACTCCGCTACATGTTCTGGATTGTTCTAGAATTACGGGCTTTATGGCTACGTGTATCTGCCTCATGAACAACGGAAGTCTTTCTACCCAAACCACTTTTAACAGTTGATGCCTGACAGTGGGTTCCTTTAAATCATCTCTGCAGAGTAGGAATGGGTATTCTTCCAAGTGTGTAGAGAACCTAATGACTTACTACTTGGGGTCACGCTAAACTTCAATTCAGAATCTATAGAGATTAGGCGTGAGTGATAAGCTCCACGAACTTATTCCCACTGCGATGACTGCCGCTGATTTATTCCGCCTTTGAGTAACTGTTCGTACTCTGCCCCTAATTTGAGTCATCACTGATTCGTCTAGTCTTCAATTGCTGTCACTGCTTGCTCCCGCCTCTCTTCCAGATTCCAAATTCCGCGTCGCAATATACAGACTCATTGAAGAAATATGAAGGTGGTTCCACTTTTCAAATCCCTCATCTAGTTCTTAACATCTCGGAGGCGGCCCGAGTAGGAGTTCACCGACTGGCATTGCCTCTGGCCACAGACCAAGACGCTCCACCCTTCAACGTGCAGCAGTATGTCCTGAATTTCGGTGGAACTCAGCATCTTTCGTCTTCCTCCACATCTTCGCCTGAAAGGTACTTCAAACTGGAGGTTCATAAACGCGAGCTCACCCCAATGTCACACTTTGAGCTGGAAGCGCCCATAACAGGTCTCGATCTTCTGCTCGTAGCACCACTGGATCGCGAGACTCGTCCAATGTTCGAGTTTTGGATTCTGGCCATCGATGGCGGTTCACCAACCCCATTGACGGGAACTCTGTCTGTTCAAATACGGGTTTGTCTCATTTTTTCTTTTCAAGTAACGTCTTGCATATTACATGTCTGGCGCTAATTGACAAAATGTGCAGTATGCTCTATTTATTAAGGTTTTCAGTAAATTCTCCTGTTATAGTAGACTACTCTTTTATGCTAAATTATCCACGACTTTAGGATTACTTTGCCCAAATGTTTGTTTTCCTGTCACACAAATTTGGAGTAGTGTACTTAATTCCACAATTTATTTTTTCTTTGTAAAAGTTTGCAGTTTTCGGCGCTTCCATCCACTTTCCGTAGAGCTTTTTGTGCACTCTTATCAGACGGTTTGGTGCGTTTTAGCTGCCATGACACTGGTTTTTCCTGCTTAACCTTACAATTTGTATTGCCTTGACAAATAACCCGACTCGAATTATAGGCGGGCTAATTTCATTGTTAATACATAGGTTTGTGTAAATATTTTATCATTGACTTTCACTACGTTTTCTAGCTCATCGATGCGTTAAGCCAACTTTCCTTAGCTCATATTAATGTCTAACAAATTCCGTGTTGCTCTACAACTGCCTATTCATCGTCCAAATCCAAATATTGCTCCTTTGTTGAGGTTCTGCTCAATTTTTGAGAAATTATGATAAACACGGGCTCAATGATCTCTGTCAGAAATATTGTACTGCCCCGTAGACCAAATGCCCTTTTTGTGCTTTGACTTAAAAAGTGCGTCTGCTTCCGACATAAATTAGACTCATCTGACTAAAGTAAATATCAGCAGCTTATCATGCATTCATTGAGTTTTTTGTAAAAATAACTCATTTCCACTATAGTTTTCCCATTTTAGGTCTGCGTTTGAAGCGATTTCTGCTGCAGTTTAATCCAGTAGTTGTTAACATTGGTAAAGAATCACGGATTGCTCAAATATGTGGTCTTTCCCACTCAATTTTCTGACTGTTAATACAATTTGGTTTGATAGAGAAAAATCCAGGCACATTTTCGAAATACTGGTCAGGAATTTCGTTTTCCATCATAGTTGCCAATGTGATGCGTAATTTTTTCGTCTGTATACCTTGATGTAATTATGAACGATTCCCCTTTTGATCCTCACCTTTTGGTAATCTTGGAGAACCTATCCATTACTCTGGCTTCGCTTGAAATGGTTGAATGTTGAACTCCACCACTGTATTTGCTTCGGGTGAAGTCTTAGGTTCACTCTTTAGTACCTCGGTATCAGTTCAGGTCTCCCACTTAGCTCGTCTGCTAAGTTTATTTCGCTTGCCTGTATGGAATCTCTCACCCGGACATTCCACGTACCCTGTGCTCACTAGCTGTCCACACCCTTTTTAAAAAACCTTCAATGTTCCGGGCTTTACCATAAAACTACTACAAAATAGCAGTCACTTTTTTTATCCATCTATAGTTTCTCAAAAAGAGTTGTAGAAAGAAAAATAACGGTGGATGATGACAGACGGAAACCCTCAAAATAGGGGATCAATTCTAACTTTTTAAGTTAAATCTCATGGACATTGGCTTTGAAACTTTAAGAAGGTGATGTTTTTTTGACTGAGCGCTCTAGTATTTTTTTGATCCTAGTAACATTTCAACTACTTCTAGTGAACTTGGATTCAAGAAGCTAAACTGGAGGAAAATTGTTAGTCAATCTATCTGCTGTTTTTTTTATTGTTTTGCATATTATTGGCTCAAAGAACTGGTTTGCCTTCGATGATTCATCGCGATATGGGAGGAATAAGTCTTTCGTCCTACTAGATCGAAATGGATTATCTGTGCTTAGGTGACTGATGCCAATGACCATGAGCCAAGGTTCGAACGGTCTTCCTACGAGACGAGTGTGGAGGAGGGCCATGTGGTGGAGGCTGTGCCCATCCTCAAGGTGGTTGCGCACGATCATGATGAGGGAGTGAACGCGCGCATTCGCTACTCATGGTGGCCCGACCACGAGCGTTTTGGCCCAGACGCGAAGCTACTGCTTGATCACCAACGTCTCTTGACGGACGAGGAAATTGCCACTACCTTCACCAGTCCCATCTCACCCGAACGTCTCTCTCAAATACAGGCACTGCCCACTTACTGGTTTCGCTTGAACGAGTGGACCGGTGAGATTTTCATTCACCGAGCGCTAGACTACGAAACTAAACGGGAATTTGTTTTCGCTATCGTTGCTACCAATCCTAACGCCGATGATGCTGATGGAAGTGGTGGTAGTACAACCAGGAAGTCTCTAAAAAATTCATCCTCCATGACCGAAGTCACGATTAATGTAAGCGTAAGGCTTTTGCTTCTGTTCCTGTTGAGATCTCATTGTTGTAGCTTAATTCATCTGTCGTTCAGTAGACTTTTAAAACCCTAATGAGTCACTATTACTTGGATCAATATTTTTTTTTAATATGAAGGAAATCAAATCCTTACAACCTTGTGATAAATGCGTTTGCAAAATACCTGTTTGGGTAAACCAAAGAAATGATTGTTTTCCATATACTTAATAGGTATGAAGGCTAAAACCCTGAGTTTGGGAGCGTGCCTTAGTTTCCATACAGTCTAAAAAGTGGTAGAGAATCAGAACCTCATAGGGGGACTTAGTGAATTCGTTATTGGATTGCGTGATGGACTTGAAACTTTGATGCCTAGGTGATCAATCTAAATGACGAGAAGCCGCAAATTAGCATAGACTATGTGATCAACAGTGAATCTGTGAAGCACAAGCGGGTGATGGAGAACGGCTCACAGAATCACTTCATCGCTCTAATCCGCGCCATTGATGCCGACGCGGGAACCACGAAGTTGACTCCACCATCACTGGAGGATCCATACATGGTCCAAATGTCGGGATTTCAGTTCGGTGCGAGTGGAGGGGGTGGAGTACGTCTCAACCGACCCGATGTATTGCACTCCGCTGCCGGGGGTCGCGTGACATGCGAGCTCGGCAGCCACTCGGAGAACTACACCCTCACTCCCAGTGCTCAGATCGGCGTCACAGTCGGGGGTAGTGAGTATGTGCTACAGACTAAGACACCTCTTGACAGGGAGCGAGAACAGAGGCAATGCGTCATCATTCGCTGCTTTGACGATGGCTCTCCTCCCAAAACCTCAACCGCCACAGTGGAGGTGAATTTTCCCTCTACTAGTAACTTCTTCAGTAAGCAAGCACTCCTAAAAATAGTTTTGATTGTAGGTTGAAATATTGGATCAGAACGACTGCGTGCCCGAAGTGAATATCCGCGCACGAGTTCCCTCAACACATCGAACTCACCGGTCGAATGCCATTCCACCGCTTCCGCGTAGTCGTCTTGCAGATATTCTCCAGAAGGCCATCCCAGACTGGCCCATGTCCCGAGGGTCGCCTTTTTCTGTACATCCACTAGTGAACGCGTACGAGGGGGGTGTTCCAATAGTTTTAGTGCGTAGAGTCTATTCCTTTTCATTGTAGTTTATTCGCTCGATCGTGGACTAAATGCAATTGATTTCTTTCAGGTAAGCGTGCCGGAAAACAGGCCGGCTGGTACGGTCGTGGCATCGGTCCAAGGAGTTGATCCTGACGCCGGTGAGAATGGACGAGTGACTATCCAGATCTTGAAGGAGGATCGTCGTTTGCCTCGTGTGGCACCTGGACCTCTTACATCTGGTCAAAACCCTGGTCGATATCCCGAGGCCAAAATCGATCACAACTTGCCTCCAGTTATCATCCGATCGGACATCAATTCAGCTGATCTCTTTAAGGTGCATACCTTACTACCGAATTTGAATCACCGTCAGGATGAGAGTTTGGCCTCGGAATGCTGGTGTCGTCTGCTTGAGTAGATCCCTGCTAAACTGAAGTTGGGTCTACATGCTTTTACACCAATTATTATTGAGTAGCAGCTTAAGATTTGATCGCTTTGCTTTGTTTACTGCCTAAACCACGGGTGTAGAGAACAGGAAGGTCACCAACCGTAGCATTTTTATGCCTAATTTTTAGCAATTATCGTTATTTACTAGTTTTCCTTATCTACCTAGAGAGATGTTCAAGTCCTGCATAAATTTTGTAGTGTTCGGAGGTTGGAATAAGTGTCTTTTCTTTGATCCAGAGCTTGAAATACTATCGCAAAAGCCTCTCAATGATTAGGCAGAGCTTGCGCCTAAACATGGACAAAGAGCCTAGATTTGGGTCGTGCGTACGACTTATTCGTCTTTTAGAGTATCCGATTAAGCCTACATTGTTGCAATCGAAGTTATATCTGGTTTCATTTTGATGACTTTCAATACAGATCAATATTTATTTGTTCATTTGATTTACAATCTATCACTAATTTTTTGTTGGTTGAATGATCAAAGCTAGTTATTAAACAATAGATGAGAAGTGGTAGACAAATAAAATTTCAAGTAATTCCAATTCGCTCTTCGTTACGCAAATTCAAATGCAATGGTGCTTGGTAGACATTACGACTAGTTTTCTAATATGACAGCAATTTGTGTTCTGTTTGCTCTTCACAGTTGGAGGCCAATGGGGATATCACAACGAACAGGATGATCGATCGGGAGCAGTCTTTACCAATTCGAGACGAGCTTTACCTCTTTTTGGAGGCACGGGACTCGGGTCACCCCGTAGCTCTCACCTCCTATGTCTTGTTAGCTGTGGAAATCGAGGATGAGAATGATAATCCACCGACGTTCGTGTTACCGCAGCTCAACTTCCCCGTTCTTGAGAACGAACCCTCTCCGCAGCGCATTGGCGAAATTCTAGTTTACGACGCGGATGCAGGGCCTCCTAGGGAAGGCTATCACGAGGTTGTTTCTGACCCCCTCCTTCTGCGAGTTAGTGAACCACCCAAACACTTCATAAATCTTTTCATTAAGTTTGGTCATGGACCACCCGATCTACCTTTCGTGATTGATTCCACACCAGATGGGCGATTCTACCTGAACGCCACTCGTTCCCTGGATCGTGAGGTTGATGAGATGTTCCAATTCCATGTCCATGCTTCGGATTTCGGCAGACCCTCACATCTGCGCCACACATCCACTGCAATCATTACTGTCTCCGTGGTGGATGTTAATGATAACCCACCGGAGATCATATTCCCAAAACCTTCCACGGCAACTACTCATATCCACACTATCTCTTACCTAGAGATGCCGGATACTGAGATTCTTAGCATCAACGCTAATGACAAGGACTCTGAGGGGGAGAATGGGAAGTTTCTGTTTGAATTGGGTCCAGTGTTGTCGTCGTTTTTAGATGCAGACACCTCTAGATTGGCCAGGACGGCATTGGATGGAGATCTATTTAAGCTAGACGCAGTGAAAGGCCTCTTGAAGACCCAGCGCCGAATGACTGAGGCAGATTTAGGCGAACACTGGTTGCAGCTCATAGTTCGAGATCTTGGGAGTCCACCACTGGAGACCCGGCAAATAATCCGTTTGGCTGTTGATCGTTCGCCCCCACAATTCGCTTCTAACATTCGCGCACGAATACCTCCCGAACAACGAACATCACCTCCGGTGAATTATTTGGGAAACTCTGTCGTGGATTCCCCGCATCGGCATCCAGGTGACTGGAATGGCGGTGAACGAAGTATTTCCGATGTCATGATGGTGGTTATTATTGCCTTGATGATAGCTGGCCTTATTGTGCTCATTATGCTCTGCTTCTACTTGAGACATCGACAGAAGTTGTTCTTCTGTCTTCCGGATGTATGCGCCTTGTTTCAGAAGCCTTACTCCTCCTCTAATCCCTATTGTAATCCCAAGTGTGTCGACGGGTTGAACAAGACAAATGAAATCAATCAGAAGGGAGCCAAGGAAGGGACTTTCCAAGGTCGCGTTTGGACACCACGTCCTCCTTCACCACTATCTGGTGGTGAGTTCGTTGCCACCAGTTCAAAGTGTCTTCCAAGTGGTGGTGGAGCGTTTGTCTCCATTGCTAGCGGGACTTCCCGGCGCCACATTAATGGGATTCAATCGGCGGTCACTGGTGTGTCTGACTTCTTTGACAAATCAGTGAGTTTTTAATTAAAACAAGATCCCTGAAATAGAGAAAGGAATAAAGTTTATTTGTAGATGAATCTGGTGCACAAGTTAATATTTTTGTGTCCCAAATGCATGCCGGAGACGTACATTCTTCGGTAATTCGCGGCATAAGGGCTACCTAAATTTACGTGCTCATCTTTGCTTCAGCCGAAGCTCTACACAGACTGCTACCATGCAAATATCTCAAGAAGCCAGACAGCATCCCAGTCCTCCCGACTTGTTCCGATTCCTGTGGGGACCCTCAAACCCATAAGTGAGTTATGATATCTCCTTTCTCCTCCTCTCTGTATTTGCCCACTCCTCCTGTCGTAACTTTCTGTACGTGGTTATGGAAGATGAGATAAGGAAGTCGAAAATAGGCATATGGTACTATGGATCATGGTCTTATTTACCTGAAAATTTAGGGATCGCAATCTGTTGGCACCATTGATAAGTAGCATGTTACTTAATTTCTAAAGATGTGAGCGCTTAAGCTTAGTCATTTACAATGTGAATACTTTTGAAGTTAATCTGTAAACGTCTTTGAGTATTTGTCATTCAAATTTTTTCGCTGTGTGCGTTTTACTCTAAATGGCCGAATGATAACCGTACAGTACATTCTAGAAGATCGGATAAATATGGCAAAAATGACCATTTGAAGGGGGAGTTCATTCTGGGAGCAGTTGTGTGTGATCTCGCAATCTCACTTTGTTTCTGTTATTTTGAGCAGAACTAAAGTTGGGAATTTTCTTCGAACCTCTCAGGTCACTTGGCAGTTTGAGCTTATCCCTATGCAAAGCATAATATACAATCACCTGCACTGCTCCTATTACTGCAATCTTATGCAGTGGGTCAAATTCCTACAGCGCGTTAGTAGAATTTCCGCAGTACTACTTGATACGCGTACTGATTTTGTTCTCCTTGTCTCTGCCTTTACGACATCTTTAAACCTCGCGGATTAGAACCTGGTTGCAACAGGCGCTGAACCTACTTACACTGGGATCCAACAATTTTTGCTTACCTCAATTGCTGAATGTGCTGGTTTTGTCCCTTCAGTTTCACCAAATGAAGAATTCCCTTCGCCGAAGTCTAACTTCTACAACTCAGCAATAATGAGCGTTCAGTCGACTGTTATTTCTCCCATTCATCGATCCAATCTTATCACCTCTTCCGGTCGATACGGTGAACCTCTTCCTTTCTCATCCTTCTATGTTCAACCAGACGGTGTCATAAATCCCCATCATTGTCGGGTAGGCCTTCATCATCTCTCCTTTTCATTGTTTTATTTAAAAATAATCGTCGATTGATACGTTTGAAGACTTCAATTGGTCGTTGAATGCTGTGTTAATGATGCACTGGAGGAATAAGAATATGGCGAATAGATTACTATTTTAAAGTTAAGCTCAAAGTATTTCTCAATGTTTTACTTTAAGCGAACGCTCGCAGCTTTGTAATTTTGAATCGCATTGTACAACATGAAGTCAGACAAAAAGAAGAGGCTACTCCTCCTTTTTTCATCCAGTGCTTTCATTCTTGCTTCACTTGTTAGTCACTGTTACCGTAACTATCAAAATATCCCGGTCTTAGAGGCGTAGCTTCGCATTCCTTTATCCTTATTGATATATTTCAATGGTAGACAGTTGAGAATAAAAATAATTTCTTTGGAAATAAGGCGGGAGCATTTACAACGAAATTAAATGGCAAATTGCGACACCTGATTACCCAACTATATCTTAATATCAAGGAGTTTTATAATCAACGTCCTTATGCGTGCATCGGTTCGTGCTCTAGAACATGTGGTTCTACTTCTGTGTCCCTCTACTGACTTCAGTTCGTGGTCGAACTCCTCCACATAAGTACAAAAGCTATCATAAACTAGTTAGCAGTTAATTATGTCTGATTTTAGTCCTCTGCACCCGTAACACATACTGGTGCAGTCACCACAATGGTTTGCTACACAGACGGTCGTCAACAGCATTCACATAAGTCAAAGGTGGCCCCCACGCAGTGCAGCTGCGATCTACTCGCTTTCTCTAACAGTCTCGGCCGCGGCCGCTATTCCCACAAATCGGCGCACTACAAGTCAGAGCCCACCCTTACAGCATGTGATGACCTTGAAGACGACGACGCAGATGACCCTAACGAGGCACTTGTCCCCATGTGCAACGGAGCGCGCTCAGAAGACTATCTCGGCGACGTGGCTCTAGGGCATCGTGGTCACTTCCCCTCACTGGTGCCGGTCGATCAGAAGATAAGTATCTCCCCACTGGCGCAACGGCAGCACCAGCAGCAGTCACTTGAGAACTATGCGGTCTCTTTTCCCAAACCTCAAGCCAGCTACGTTTAGCCTGAGGGAAATGGGGATGATGGGAACTTTTTGTACTACTCACGAGTTCTATTCCTGTTGCCGTGCTCTTTGTCATTTTACGTAAACTGGCTACTGGATTACTTAACCCACTAGTAAAGTGTATTTCTAACTGCTCAAAAACGTGTCTCCTGGGCTTTCAACGTTCAGAGGGGGCTGGTTTTATTTGGAGCATGGTTCGATTAGGAAGTGGTCCTTACCTGTGATCAGAAGTCAAAAATTAGCCCCCTCCTTCAATAATCCTGAAATACGTAGCCATCAGTGAGTACTCAGGGTAATTTGTGCGATGGATTTTATCAGGTTAGTTGAGGTGTTAGGTCTCAGGTGAAGGAGCCCAGCCCGTTGATTTGAGACCGCCCCAGCTTCATGCACTTTGACCTAGTCCACGTCGTCTCTTTACCGCTATTCATACGAGGAACCTTTTATAGTATATGACTGCTTATTTATGTAGCGTGGGAGATTCCCAGTGGAGCTTTGTCACAAGCTAAGTCGAGACAACAAATTCCGTGTACTTTTAGATAATCACTGCCACAGTTTTACGCATGACTAAGGTGACATGATGCGAAGAAGGTTTTGAAGAGGTCTTTCGCGGACCTTCATTATTTAGGTCTAGTGGATTGATTTTAATCAAAACGAAGCACCTCCTGGATCGGGATGTGGGTTTTTCGGGCGAGAAGCAGTCTCACTTGGTAGATTTTTACAGTACAAATGCTCAAAATAGAGCATTCTGTATACATTAAATGCTTAAGTACAGTAGTGATTACGAAGGTTCGCTTGTAACAGTAGTTTGAAGGTCAACAGATTTACTAATGGGGTTGTATGCTAAGTGCAAATTCATTTTATTTCCAGATGGTTAAATACCAATTTCCTGTGGTCAGATAGGTAATCTGAAAAGCAATTTTAGTACTTTTTTTCGGGAAAAAATTCCGTAAAAAGTTAGGTATCACCATCTCAATTTAAGTCACATTTTCTAAACAAATAGTGCACTAGCTTAGGTACCCAAACATTATTGTGTTAAGTTGGGAAGGCATCAGTCCTACTATTTTCGCTGCATTCCTCAGCTATTGTAGAGGTCCATTGTTTAAGCTAGCATCGCCATACTAATCACCGTATTAAAAGCGCATGAAATGAATAGAGAACAACTCATCACACCAGTAAACGGTGGCAAATGTTGAATTGACAAATCGCATATTTCCGCCTTATTAAACACAGACTCCTGCTTTCTAAAACTGGCCTAACTGCCATGAATAGAACAAACTAGTGATTTTCTAAGGACTACACATTCTGTTTTCAATTTCGAAAATATGTTATTCAACTATTACTCAGAAGTGGGAGGAGGATGACAAGGAGAGGTGGTAGCATCATCATCATCATCACAACCTGTGAGGAAGGAAAGGAGTGAAGAGAAAGGTGGCTACGGAAGGGGCAGGAGCAAGAAATGACACTGCAAGGAGAAAAGCTCATGTGATAACGAAATGTGTGGGAGTTGGTTCTAAACACGTAGAACAGGGGAGGGGGTGGTAAATAAATTGAGTCGTGTGAGTATCAGTAATAGCTGCGGGATGAATGTCTATTCTGCGGTGACAGCAACAGGTTCAGTTGGCTCAGCAGGGGCCTCGGTTTCGGCGGGAGGCTGCGGGTGATGAGGAGCATCGCCAACCTGGAAGCCGTCCTCCGTCATCACCACGTGGACCTTGGGCTCGATTCTCTCATACCTCTCCACGAAAAGGGGACCGCTGAAGACACCCTGACGCTCGCTAAAGCTACGGTGGTCCTTCACACGCTCGTACTCGCTGTACATGGAGATCTTTGGCTAGGCGGTACCAAATAATGGATTGTTAATGCGCTCCAACCACTGCTTCTACCCTAAGGCGCCCTGTGACAGGTGAGACTTACTGGAAGACCGCTGATTTTCGCAGCGAGTGGATCACTGAAATTCAAATGGAAAAGTCATTTAGACAGTACGGACAGCCATTTTGTGGAGGAACACGAGGTCCGTATTAAAGACCATTCGCATGCAGTACTAGGTATGAATCATTGTCATCATGTGTTCAATTCGAGTTTGTGAAAGAAGAGCAGGTCTCGTTTTTAAGGTTCATGCAAGTCGAGGTCTATTGCATTCAAATTCACTTACGGTGTATTCTGCACCTTAGTTCCACGTTTGTCCCTGTAAAAAGGTAAAAGATTAATAAAGCCCATTTGATAAAGCTCAGACCAAATATCACACGCATCATTGAGGTGTAACTCACCCCTTGTTCATTTGTCTGGCACGCTCAGCCAGCTCCTGCATCTACAATAAATTGTTTAATCATTTTAGAACGGCACTTTCTACGTGAATAGATGGACGATGGACGCATAGTTTGATGAATGTGTGGATTGCCGGATGAATGAATACTCAAATGATTGGATGGTTGGGTGGAGAGGTAAGCGGATGATGAGATGAATAAATGGATAGGCAATATATTTTTGGCAACAATTGGAAACTTGCGTCATAGCTTTGACGACTGAAACGCTGCTCGAGGTCGTATTTGTCACCCTCAAGTCTCAGAATGATGTCGTTAAGCTCCTTGGCCTTGGCGCGCAGTTGTTCACCATTCAAGCCATCAATTTGGAGGGGTTGGATACGCTGCTCCAGAATCGCCTTTCTCTCAGCCTCCAGCTGCTCTTTTGACTTTTGTACCTCTTCGTGTTTGACTTCCTCAACTTGCTGAAAGTAACAGACAGTATCTCGTGATTATTGGTCGAATTCTCCGCTGCCGCGTAGTTAGCGATTCTGAAATCCAACTTTTTAAACCAACCACCTCACGCCTCAATTAGATCATGCGCAACATAAATCGCTGTTGCCGAATTTGTATGAGAACTTCTATTTCAGATATGCCTGTGTCGGCTCGCAGGAAATATTCATTGATTTGGAGGCATCATGAAATCGAAGCTCCCATCGCGATCTTTCCCTAACAAGTAATATCCGCTATTAAGATAAAACTACCCTGAGCAAGCACTACAGCTCGCTCACCGTGTGTACATAACAAGCAACGGAATCATCTAATCATTTTAGCTCAATTTAGTCTTTAGTGGTTCATCTTTACCTGAAGCTGTAGAAAGAGAAGATTCATATGGCTTAGTGATCCCACTCCACTTTGTTCACAACGTACACATGGTTTAGTAACACGATAAGATGTCCGCATTGTGAATTCGGCACTTACACGCCTACAGGTAACTTTCTAACCTGAATCTGTTGAAACAGAAAATCTGCATGGGTTTGAGATGTAAAATCATTGAGAATGAATGCATAACATATCCATGGTTTGTAATACGGCCAAGATGAGAGTTAGCAAAGCTGAAGCTAACACTTCTACTCCACGGGATGATTGTTTGGGAGGCGTTCCCTAGTTATAAACAGAAAACAAATAATGTGAACATAGGGCACGTGCAAATAGCTTCGAAATCTTTCTTTTGGATAATTTCCACTTTAAATGTTGTAATCTTGCAAGGTCTTACTTCCACAGAGCCAGGCTTCTTGTTGATGACGAAATTGCGGCGTGTGGTCAGCTTTGACTTTTCGGCGAACTCGGCACGTTTGCGCTCACGCTCCTCACGCTTACGCTGCTCCTCCTCTCTCTTCTTGCGAGTACGCTCTTCCTATGGGGAGGAAATGGAGCTCAAAATCTACATTTTCGTATGATTTTTGTGACCAAGTTTTCTGTTCTAGGTAAAAAGACGTCACAAATGTGTGAAAGTTGTGGACATCCCTGAGCACAATCCAACTTCCCGAGTATCAAGTATTTAAGTAGATGTTGTATACCAAGAAGCCGATCATAATCTTAAAAGAACAAATGAATACGAATAATTAATTAAATAATAATTGATGCTGAACTAAAAATAGACTTACTTCTTCAGCGCGTCTTTTCTGTTCCTCGATGGCGCGAGCTTCGGCCATGCGAGCTTCCTCTTCAGCACGCTCCTTCTTGCGACGCTCCTGCAATTAGTAGAGAAAATCACAGTAGCGAATACTTTAAAATGTGCCTCTCGAAGTGTACAATCATTATTTTCACTAACTGTATGAAGCCAGGAATTTCCAGTTATTACTGTTACTTCGGGTCCAATCTGTCCCACACTGACTCTTAGCAAGCTGAAAACCCATTTTTGTTGTTCGCGCTAATGATAAGTGGTTATTACTTCTCCCTATGTGCGTGTATGTACGGCGTAACAATTTTGTATGATTTCAAAAAATTGTGGAAAAGTATAATTCTTCAGATTTCAAATAATATGCCAGTGCATTACGCTTTAACTGAGTAAGAATTTGTCCCTTCCAGAAATGTTTACAGGTGAATGAGTAACAAAACTGCACCCCATAGGGAATCCGAGCCGACTTCTAGAATATGAATTTACCTTAAAGTACACCAAAGGTCGTTGCTGTCGGTCGGGTTATTCATGAACACATGAAAGTTAGCACTACAACACATTAATGACTTAAAACCGGATATTGCCATTCACTACGAATGCATAGTAGATTCACTTGTAATTGAAATTAAATTACTAACTTAACTACTTTTTTCTTTTTCAACTTAAACTAAGACCAAATTATGGCATAATTCAGTTAAACGAGATGACAGATCCTTATACCATATTCTCGAAGAAGAGGCGCTTACACGGCGTTCACGGAGCTGCCTGATTTCCTCCTCTTCCTTTTCACGTTCAGCGCGACGGATTTCCTCATATTCCCTCCACTCCTCTTCTGCACGCTCTTTGCGCTTGCGCGCATCCTCCTAAAACCGCAAATTAACGTAAACCGATAGAATTCTGCGTCTTGGCTAAATTTTAGCAATACACCTATTTTTTTTACTAATTTCCATTTCGAATCCTGACTGTTTTTTAATTTTGCGACAAAAAAGTAAGCGCAGTTGAATCATAAAATATGGATAACTGCTCGCCTTACGTACCTCCATCTTCAGCCTAACCTCGCTAATGCTCTCATCGCTAAAATGAAAGAAAACAGAATAAAAACAGGTCACTGCGTAATGACTTTAAAAAAGGCATGAGATTTACAGATAGTAGAAACTGTGAATTGCCAGATGGAATAGACAGGTAGCAAGAGATAACTTGCGAATGCAAGTCGTATTACACTGCACTTACCGTCTAAATTGGGAAAATAAATAAAGTAAGAATCAGTATGAAAGCTATCGCAAAAAGATTAACTCAAATCGACATGCATGCTTACGTGTGCTCCTCCTCAGCCATAACTGTTGGTGATGCAGTCGCCTAGTGCGTACAGAAGACCCTGAAAGTCTAGATTGCTGGTGCCTACAGCGGGAGTGATGCACTACCACTGCCACGAAGACTAATAGCAATCGTGCATCCGATTCTCGCAACGTTATTGGTCCATTTGTGCTCCCTCACCTTCCCACCCCCTCCACCCGCACGAGCCTGAATGCACACACGCGCACCTAGAGAGGGATCAATGCCATGGCGGGTGCGTGGGTTAGGGCGTGGACATTGTGTGAGGACGCTAACCCTTGAATTTGCAAGTGGGCGTCGATAAGCGCCTAGAATAGCCGCCTAGTGACTTGTACGTGACTGGACAGGTGCGGGGATCAGCAATTCTAGTGCATTTATTTTTGGCGAGCATGTCGTAGTGACAGCTCGGTTAAATCAACAGAGAAGGTGACAGTCCAATCCAGACTCATCAAAAATTTTGAAATCAAATTGATGGTCTATCAAAATTTTTTATAACGTATAGTTGGCGGCATGATTTAATGGCATTAACTTTCAACAAGTACTGTACAATGCAAGGTGTGCACTATTTGGAATTTGCAACTTCTTAAAACAATTGGTTAATGAATGATATGAACAAGCTTAAGGTAAAACTAGTCAAATATTAACAAATCAGTGCAGTTTATGGAAGGTTAATGAATTTCCTGCTTCCTGATTTCACCACTGCTACCCTTCAAAGAGAGAACTGCAAATTTAACTAATGATCCACAAGTAGACCTAAAGACAATTGCCGCAAATTTTCAATTTAATACTATGGCGGCTAATGGCGTTAGGCGTGGAGTAGAAAAATCTGTTTAGACGAAATTGGGGAAGAATCAGGTCACATCTTAGTTTTTACTTATCTAGACAAAACTGGACAACATAATCGTGGTTGCACAACTCTTGTAAATGTCCATATCCATTGATCGTAGTGCCGTCGCAAGTCCCTGATTGGTTATCCTCACTTCCGCGCCTGGCTTATAGCCTACTTTGGTTGGTGGGCCTACAGTCCACCAACAAGCGCTCGGATCAATGTGTTCTGCGCGAGATCCCAGTAGCCGACGCTCGTTCGTTTGCGAAGTAAATGGATTTTATGCAAAAATTAGTCTGCTGTTATTGAATCAAGCACAGACGGCTTCTCAGTTTTGCCAGTAAGGGTTTCGTCGATATCCGATGAAAGCGTGATAACAAAAGTGGTGAAAAATAAAAACTTTTAGAGCGTATCTGGCACATTGGATAGAGCATTTAGCTAGATTATGGATATTGGGGGAGAAACGCTTGAAAAAGTGGCAAACATGGACTGAAAAGTTAAGTGTTGGACATTTTGTAAGTTATTTGTTGATAACTGATAATTTTACAATAATAAAAAGTAGAAGTTGTTTTAGCAGGAACACTTAGTTGTTTCCCACATGAGGGATAAAGCGGAAGAATAAACGCTTTTGAATTTTCGAGTTCACTTTTCAAGCAAAATGGGTAAGTTATTTAGTTAGATAAGGGGAGAAATACCGTATTTTAAGTAAACGCTTTGGTACTCTACTCCAGCTTAAACAAGGATGCAACTTCAAAAAAGGTTTAAGCATCAAATGTTCAATAAATCTGAGTTTGTGAAATTTAATAGCCGGATTTCTCAGTCTGATGGTGGGGTTTCGTTTTCCCCTGGATGAAAAGGTAGATGACGGTGCGACAAAGCAGTACAGTCCTCACCTACAAACAGTAATTGATTTGTTGAGTGGGGACTGCTGGGTTTTTGATTTGCCCGTTTTATAAGAATTTAGACAAGGCACAAACTCTAACCGCCACGGTGCTCATAAATTGGTAAAATTCTGCTGTTTAAAGTCGTAGCTAGGGTCATCACTCCAAATTCATCAAGCCAGCCTTTGGATTAAAGTATTCAACTCATGTGGCAGCTTCATAGACAGGCGACTCTCAACTGTGCGCAATAAATTGGCTTAAATTATTTATCAAGGTTAGTCAGTACGAGCGTTGTAATAATTACCAAGTATAATAGAACAGAGGTAAACGGAGTTAACATTGGCTTAGCATGGCCCTACAATCTAGGATACAAAGGTAATCTTGAGGGTTATTAATTTATTATCAATTATTATTATTAATTTATTATTATTATTTTGCCTCAGTGGATGGTAGGATAATAAAGTGCAGAATTATTTTATCTAGGTGGAATCGCTACTTAAGTAAGGTGATCAAATTTAGTAAGTCCCTACTCCGAAATACTATTCTCAGGAGGGACTGTCTGTGCGACGACTTGTGACTACTGTGACGCTCAAATTCAAATTAACTATCACGTGACAAGGCAAATAAATCAATTCCAGGTTATGAGTTCTGGCTTGGGAAGTGCAAACCTCAGGGTGGAAGTATTCATGGAGAGGCTCATATGCCTTGAGAATACCCTCCAATGCGTAAAATGCCACCTCCCCAGTTTTTACGAGCACATTTCGGCGATGCCCGTAAAAAGGGCCTTACAAAAAGTTGTCGAATGCATACCACCTAATGCACTTACCGTCTCGCGAAGGAACAACGATCCTGCAGGGGCAGCCTCTGAAGAGCAGGCAAAAATAGACTTTCTAATGGAGAAATTTTCGCACAATGAGGAATCTGCAAACGATGCAGCTCTTATGCGTCGGCCAATGCGGTATACTACGCTTCAGAATTATGCTCAGTCAGACGCTATCAAAGTTGGTAAAGTCCTCCTAAAAACATCCAAGTCTCCTGATCTGAGCGAATGTAATCAAGATCACGCCAATAATCGCACAATTCAAGCACAGATTTTAAATTCAGGAAGGACGCTTCAAAAGTCCCTTCAACTTCTCACTGCTTTGGAGGAAGCAGCCCGGTGCTTTGAGGAAACTCCAAACACACCAGTGCTGAAGGAAGAGATTGTTTCAATGGTAAGACATCTTAAGATTAGCGTTACGAATCTTCTGCGTGGAATAACACAACTGAACAGTTATCGTCAAATTGCGCGAATACTTGCGAAGTTGCGACAGCGTGGAACAATGAAAGCACTCTTAACTAGAATAGAAGAAGAGAAAGGAAAAAAGAAAGTTTGGAGGTTTTGAACTGTCAAATTATTCATGTTTAGGGTCAATGCGGATTATCTGCATACATTCTTCAGGAAACTTCAAAATGGAAATTCCAGACGTCAAGTGGCAGCCTCCCTAACTAAGTTTTTAGCAAACACCGCTAGTCTTATTGTTAGCATACATATGACCATTGTCCCAAAATTATGCGATGGCAGTGGTTGATCTGGAATAATTGATTTGATCACTGCAAAATTTCAGGAAATAAGGTGTCTACCCAACTTGAAATTTACGTAAGGTTTGACGGCGACGGCAAAGGTGAACGGGAAATGCAGTTATACAACCCCTGAGAGTCCCATGCAGCCACATACATAGTCATGATGTTGAAGAGTATTTGATGACATAAAAATGCTTCTGAAGGGTGATTGGTCCAAACTTATTTATCACATGGTAAATGTTATGAGAACTCAGCTTTATCAGAGTTTCAGTTCTGAATTTTTCCAAGGACGAACGTTCGACAACGACAGCTAGTACCGCAAATTTGGTTTCGTTTGATCTCAATAACATGGAACAATCGAGAGACTCATTCATTTAAAGGAAATAGCCTAGGCTAAAGATATGCCTAAGTAAATTTCGACAAGGAGCAAATACGCTATAATAATTGTTCTTCGCCACATCCTTTTTAGGTACGCTCTTAACATTAATGTAATACGTTAATGGTTTATCCCTCGGTTCTGGTGAGGCGCCACTTTTGTACTTTGAACTAGCCCCCTTGTACCTCGCTGGGTGGGCTGGCCTTTTGGGCCATGCCAATAGCCCAGACACCTTCTCCGTGCTGAATAAATACATTCTGCACGAGTATTGTGTCTTCTTTCGTCTTCAGGGAGTCTCGGGACGCTACATTAAGCTGCATATCGCACAATGTACCTCATAAAATAAAGCCAGGAATCACAATAGATTGAGTTGATAATGGGATAAAAATGGGGAACCACCATGGGTTGCACAGTAAACCCCTACGACTCGCACTGGAAAATTTACCTAAGCTGGCTTTTTGTTAAAAATAAGTGTATTCGTTGTAATCATGGGGTGAAAATATGACTTAGCATTCGAGTTTTTAGCAACTAACGTTTGGGCGTTATAAAACAAAAAATTTCCAAGTTTATTGCAAAAAATTAAAATTTAATGTGTTGAGTAAAAATAGGAAATTTTACATATTTGTTTTGCGGACTAGAGTCTTGAGAAGTAGAGGGCGCCTTTTTTGTTGTTTTGTGGTGTTCATGTGCTGCAGTTGCAATAGGCATTGCTTTTTTTGAGCCTATTTCCATCAATGTTTTGGTCTCATTTTGGTAAAGGGAATGATTTTTAGATCGCTACTTTTAAATTTGCTCATTAGTTTTCATTGTTCACAAAAGGTGTGTACTTCACATGGTGACGTTATCATCACCGTGTACATGTAACGTGTGCGATTTGATTAATTGCACGTTAATTTAAATGACTTGTATTCATTTATTGTTATCTTTGGCCCAATGTCCTAAAGGTTTTGAGATGTATCTGGGTTTCGGGTAAAGGGTCGGAGAATTCGTTTTAATTCCTCTCTTGTTTTCACTACCAGATGTCTGATTGCGGTTGTACGTCATGTTACAACACAGGTAGTCTTTTCATGTCGAGCTCTTTATTATTGCGGAGTGCTACTTTTGTCATTATTGGAACTGTGTTGAGGAGAAGATACATGTAGTTTGCATAAACTGGCTTTAAGTTTCTTCTCTTTTTTCCAGCGAAATGTTCTCCATTGATCATACGTCAGTGAAAGAGGATTTTGCCACTTCTCGTCATAGTATTATAGAGGGTAATTTGTACGACGATAGCGAAGCATGTGTAAGTTCTACTTCCATTGGTCATGGTCTTGCAGGTCGGATCGCTTGTCAACAGATCATACTTTCCGTTGGAAATGTCAACAAAGAAAGGTGGGTGGACGTTTGGTTTCGTTTACAAGTCCATTAAGATACTTTTGAGGTATATAGCGAGTTTAACTCTGCTTGGAAACAACTGGAAGAGGAGCCTCTTGCATTGGCTGAAAAGTACTCACTTCTCACCAGTGAATATCTTGCGGCCTTACCAAGTCTAGGTCGACGATCTGCGCTTTCCTTCAAGTAGAATATTGCTGGCTTTCACTCCGAAAACCTTTAGAAACGATTACGAATCCTGTCTTGTCGATGCTGTTGATTTGGAGCGGTCAACTTGGCGATTAATACACGCTCTGTATAGCGACCGGCTCTGTCACACAGACTCTTTATTGAACAAGGATTTACCAAAAGTTGTAGCAATAGGTTTTACTCAAATCTTGCTTTTAGCTACACTATCACTCGGAAAAAGACATTGTTAATACTTTGTATGACACGGACGATGATCTTCGGGAAACGCAAGTAGGTCCTTTGACTACCACCTCCATTCCTACTTGAATGTGCCCAGACGAACATTTTCCAAGCTAAAATTTTAAAAAACGTTTTTTCCCAATTAAGGTAATCGTTGATTGGCTGGAAGGAAAGGTTCGAGAAGAAATAGTCAAAGTGGCGGAAAAATATGAATGTCTTTTTAACGAAACTACAGTATGGTGGGCTGATTGACATTTCGTTTTTTTTTGCGTTTTCCGCTGATTTTGTTCCTTTGTATAATCATGATGTGGCTTAGGGAAAGTACGCACCACCTTTTGGAAACTTTGAGTGCCAATGAACTCAAATCCAAGCATTTGGTTACCCATTTGGTGAGTGCCAGTTTGTCTTTTGGCTATCAACCAATGAACGTGTATCAATTGTCGCTCTACAGTTTCCGGATACGGCACTCATCGGCGGAGGTGGTTTGGCTCAAAAAGACATATCAGCTGAAAATCGCTACCTGCATTATCTGTTTTTATGCGTCAGGGGTGGTGATTTGCAGAGGGTACGCTTTCTTTTATCTTTCCGATTTACCATAGCATAACACTTTTCGAAGTTAAGCAGGATACTGTTAGCTAAGTCAGTGAGATGCGTCTCCACGTGGTCCATAGTGGCGTTTGGAAATTAACCTGTATGCATTTACAAATTCGTCAAAAACCTTCGCGGATGCTAGGCTTTTTTGGAGGAGTTAGCTAATCTGTTATAAGCGGGCGCCTTGGTCATGTTATGGATGCCAAGAACCTTGACTCTAGGTCTCTTTTTTAAGGTTGCAATGTATCTTAATTTTATTATGGATGCATTAATACCTCGAATGTTCGTGAGTGTGGGATTCAGGACGCGCTGCGGATCAGAAGGAATCGCGAATGTTTGGTACGAGTCAATAAAAATACTAATAATTACTTAGTCCTGGAATTTAACCTCTAAGTACGACCCAGTTCATGCTCTCAAATTATTTGACTTTCATCGAAATGTTAGCTTAATACATTATCCTTAAAAGAAATGATGGCCATAAAAATACAGTACCACTTAATTATTTGACACATAGGACTTTTTCAGTACGGTATGCTAGTGTTACCCCTACAGTGCACCAGCTAATTGGCTGCTGTTTTCTTTTGAACGTGCATTAAGGTAAAACCAAGCAACAAATGGGACTGTAAACTTAATGACCGACGTTTCTTTGTCACTGCCAGGAAGGTAGGCTAGTCAAGCTTCATTTATTACAGAAGCCATATATCAAAGGTAAAGCTCGATAAAGAAAACACATTCTGTACGTAGAGGCTACAGATATTCAATTAGTTTAAATGTGCATAAAGATGTGAGTGCAAAATACTTAGGTTCCAATGAAAACTTCCCGAAATTCTGAATTTGCGAGTCCCTAAATGCGAATGCGCATGTTATTACTGTACTCCCCATCATTTGTCGTGCTACCTAAGCAAATTTGTGCCATCGTATGCTATTAAGTGATTTATCTTTTGTCCTATTTAAATTTGTATTTAGGTTGTTCACAATTGCCTCAGCACTGCCACCTTGTTCCGTTTTACGCTTTTATAAAATGTGTACTGATTTGGGGTACAGTCTCTACGTGTATCTCCTTAACAGTTGTCTCGGAAGGGGTTTATTAACTACCCTTTTTAATATCAACCGTAACGTGAATGCTTGATTGTCGTATTGTCATTTTATTTGACACTAGAGTGATTGCATAATGTCCTCAGGACTTCCTTCTGTTCATTAAACCAAAGTGGAATGCTGAGACGGATGTGCTGATTAACTTGTTTTAAAAACAGGAAAAACAATTGCCTTCTGTTTTGTAGTGTCATACCGAAATTTTTTATATAGGCTCAGCGACTTTGTCTTCAGCGAGGGGATATCACTCGGGCCGTTGCTATGGAGGGTTGGCGCCCATTCCACACCAGCTGCCTATCCAAAGACAGCGTTCAACCAAAGCACGATGCTGTTGAAGGCAACGCAACTCGCGTGCTGAGCAAGTGCGTCGCCTGGTGGAATTCTGAAAATGTTGGTTTCGGCTTTTTTACTTATTTTTATGATAGTAAACACTCACACCTGATTTTGTTTATCCAGCCAGCTTTAAATCCCTACGAGCGTGCAATGTTTGCCGCTCAGTCGGGCAACCTCAGCATGTTGCTGCGAGCCATGACGTCTGGTAGTTGGGAGGATTTGCTATGGGCGCACTGCCGTGCTCTTGTCGAATCTCGAGTTGATGCCACTCTACGAATGAAAATTGACTGCGGACCTAGGGCAGACACACTGGTGAGCAACTCTTCCTTATTGGGTTTTATCACCCACTTTCTAAAGATAGGATTATCTTAAGGAGCTCAAATGTTGGAATGTTTCAGTCGGTGTTGGGACGCCCACAAAAAGGCCTCGAAGTCGAGGACGTTGGTCTGCAGCTGCCTAACTCGGCCTGGTTGCCAGGCTCGTGGACCCTATCAGAGGCCTTTTCGAAGGCCGAAACTGTTCTTGGATGGTGCCCTATAAGTTACCTCTTCCAAACTGTTGAGGGGGATTCCGGTTTTGTTGCTCCGGCCCTTCGTCCCTCGGAGATTTCAGCATTCCTCCATCCCAACGAAACCAACGACATAAAGGCCTCAAGTGGCTCTAGTTCCCCATCCAGCCGTCACACACTTTTAAAGGCTATGTTTTATGCCATATGTAGGGGAGTTGCTCTTAGAGAATATTCAGGTATTCGAAATCCTAAACCATTTGACCGCTCGTATCTTTTAATGTTTAGAGTTAATACGTGAACCTTGGCAGTTTCATAAATGAAAATCGAGTCGCAAATTACACTTGAATGGATTTCACTTTGTGGACTTGTGTCTTTTGATATTTTTACTTGCAGAACTGTTGACTGCCGTAGCCTTGGTTGCGCCGCTTTTTATTCCAGCGTCGATTCGTGAGATTTTAGCGTCAGGCATCACCAATGTAAAGTGGCCAGACCAGCTTACACTGGATGAGCTGGATTGTCAAGTTCTCCGCTTCTTGTCTCATTTCGTGCTCTGTCTTCGTCATCTTGAAACGGGTCTTCCAGTAAGTATCCCTAACTTTTGAATCATAACTCTATTCCAGTTGCGAGAATCTGTTTCTTTTGGCAGTGATAATGCCGATTTCGATCATTAATTTAGCAACAGTTATACGGATAAGCAACTTTGCTCGGTGAAAGCATATAATTAATAACTTCGGTCGCTTCACAGGACGAACCCTGCAATGCTGTTCTCGAGACCTATGTAATTACACTCATTGTGGAGCGACGATTTTCGCTAGTTGCATCCTACATTGCTCAGCTCTCTTCCCCAGTACGGCAAACACGCTGGTATGCCTCATTTCTCTCAAGTAAGCTACTCCTTTATTTACTCCACATGAATTGTAAGGATTTTTGGCTGATATCGGGTTTTCGAGGCTAAAACCGGAATTAGTCATCCTCAAATAGCTAAATGTGCCTAGATTAATGCCTCGTTTCGCACATCGGGAGTAACTTTAGGATATTTTTTTCTTTTGCTTACCTTCGCATCCATTATTGCTTGAACGTAGTTTTTTATCTCTCCCTCTGAGTTGGTGCTCGCGGGAGCTGTTTTTGAGGTCGAAAAATTATCTACCGTGGCTGTTTCCAAAATTGGTGGAAAGTATGTAACTTTGAAGTGTGAGTATTCTATTGTTGCTGGCTTCATCAGCGGTAGCGGTTAATCAAATTTTAATACTAATAATAAGCATCAAAAGATGTCCGCCATATTTGTGCCTACGTGCTCTTTCATGTGTCGGACCCTATGTTCAGTTTTCGCATGAATTCTATTAATCACTACTAACCCAAAATTTTTCTGTTTTGGGTGACTTTTTAATGAAGTACTTTGGTGCGTTCCAAAAGCGGGCCAAAATAAACTCACACCGGCAGCAACGGTTCCTGTAACTTTCTGTATTGCTTAAATAATCCACTTATTATTTAAATTGGTTTTGTCAATTCCTTTTTAACGCTTAATGAAATTTTGGGGTAAAAATGTACTTATTTGCTTTTATTCCCCTCGTGGTAATAGTTACCTTATTTGAGCTACTATAGTAATATTGTGATCGACCAATCCCTAAGATTGCTTCTGATGTACTTTATAGTCCATCAATGAATTAGGTTTCTATGAATGGCTGGAAAGATAGATACCAATAAACTGACTCTCAACAATTTGTCAATAGGTCTCAAGAGGCCAGAGGAGTGTCGTCAGTGTCTGGAGTACGCAGAAGTCGCCGGTCTCAACGTGCAGAGTATCACACGAGCGGTGATCCGGATAGTGCGTCGTCGATTTGACGAACGAGAGGGCTTGGTGAAAGGCGTATCGAATACTTCAATACCGCTGCCGACCCCAAACGGCATCACCGATCTCGTGGGTGGTGATGTGGTAGCCTACCTTACACAAGTGGACAAGGCGCGTATCGCTGCGCTCGACTGGCTGACACACGACCAGGCGCAGCGCGGCGAACTGCTGGTGCTCACTAACAGCCTTATCCGTCTTTTCATTGCCATGCGCAAGCTGCGTGCCGCCAGGGCTCTCCTAGACCGTCTGCCACTTGCTTTGTTGGACCAGCTAAAACTGAAGCTCCTCCAGGCGGAGGAGGACTTCGGCGTGGAAGTTGTTCAGGCCGCCGTTCCTCCTTGGCTTGCTAATACCGTTCGCGAACACGAAGCCCTTATCCTCTATCTCCATGCCCGGGTACGCAAACTACTACTTTAATGTAACTTATTTAGTGCATGTAGTTTCAATATGCGATTAGTGGTGCTAGCTTTGGGTTATGATTCTAGGTTCATCTTTTTGTAATAAAGCCCACTTTTTATTTTAATAAAAATATGTAGCCAAATTTATTATCCGTAGGTTTTTGGAATGTTAAATCGAGATTCGATCGAGGCATATAGTGTCATTAGGCTCCTATAATTGGACTATATATCCCAGCAGATCTGATGATTATCAAGTAAAAAAAGTATAAACAGGACTAGGTTTAACGATACGTCAATAACCTGGATCATTTCTGATATACGAGGTAA